GGCTGTCCAATGCTCCAAAGGCTGCCCTCCTGTCCCTCAGGCTGCAGCTCCTGCCGGGGCTGGGGGCTGCCCTTCCCTCTGGGGTCAGCAGGAGAAGCGTGCCCTGGGCTGATCCCACAGTGTGGGCAGCAGGAAAGGGGGAATTCTGCCCCTCTGCCCTGCTCAGGTGAGACCCCACCTGCAGAGCTGCCTCCAGCCCTGGGGCCAGCACAGAAATGACCTGGAGCTGTGGAGAGAGTCCAGAGAAGGCACCAGGATGATCAGAGGGATGGGGCAGCTCCATGGGGAAAGGCTGAGAGAATTGGGAATGCTGGCGAAGTTTTGGGATGACCTAATTGCAGCCTTCCAGTACCTGAAGGGAACCTGCAAGAAAGATGGAGAGAGATTATTGACAAGGGCCTGGAGGGACAGGACAAGGCATGGAATGTCTTCCCAGTGCCAGAGGGCAGGGTTAGGTGGGATATTGTGAAGAAATTTGTCCCTATGAGGGTGGGGAGGCTGTGGCACAGCTGTGGCTGCCCCTGGATCCCTGGAAGTGTCCAAGGCCAGGTTGAATGGGACTTGGAGCACCCTGGGATAGTGGAAGGTGCCTCTGCCCATGGCAAGGCATGGAAGGAGATGGGCTCTGAGGTCCCTTCCAGCCCCACACTATTCTGTGTTATATGAACAGCAGCCTCCTCTCCTTTGCAAGTGGAATTTTCCCTTCCAAGCAGGATTTGCCTATAACACACTTAACTGCTTCTGGCAACAAAGCGTATTTCGGCTTTAACCATCCTACGTAATTTTTTTCTTTTTACCCCTCTCTTCCCTAGAAAAGGAAGGGGCAATTACCCATCCAGCTGCCTACAATTCCGTGCATCAAGGGCTGTGTCTGGGTGCTGCTCTACCCCTGCCGGGAGCAGCAGGCTTTAAGCTCAAAGCTGACACCATCTACTCGGTTTCTTGAAAACTGGGGCCTTTTCTTTCCCTGTTTTCCAGCACAAGTGCTGCTGGGATATTTCCACTGACAATGCTTTTTCCCAGAGGAGACACTTGAAGGAGTAATACACAAGATCTTTCCCTACCTGCTCATTAAGGATGAAGGGAGGCACAGGAGGGAGTTGCAGCTTTGAGTCTTAGCTGTGATCAATTTGATCCTGTCTCTGATTTCCTGCTTTAACATAAGCAAGATGATGTGCTAATGCTCACCAGGGGTGGAAAGAGGGGCAGAGATGAATCTGTGACTGCTTGGGAGATGTATGAGAGAGAACATGCAAGGAATGCCCAGGAGGAAGCTAATAATTGTGGCGTTTGGATGGAATTTGAAGAATATGGCCTGGGGCCAGACGCTGAATGAGGGGATAAAAAGAAATATTCAACAACGGCCCAATGGCTGAATGAGGCTGGGGCCCCGTGGGAAGAAAATAGGATGTGATCACAGCATCAGAAACTGCATCGTAATGCAGCCACAGAACGTGGTGGGGAGAGGAGAGGGGATTAGAAGTTGCACTGACATTTTTTCACATTTGGGTTTTGCAGCCTTAATTTTCTTCAGCTGAGCCTTGGGGACGTGATATAAAACACAGAGCTCTGCTTTGGTTGTTTCTGTTGGAAGTAGGAAGGGAGATGCTCAGAGTCTTGTCTTAGATCAATATTTAACCAGTGAATTAATGTAGATTCTATTTGTGACACGAGATTAAATTTTAAAGCGCTTTGATTGTTTAAAGCTCCTTGGTGGCAGTGGCAAATGTCTTGTAGCTGATTAAAACCTGGCAGGAGTGGTAGCAGTGCCAAGACTCGGCTTTGAATGTGTCTGGACTAGGGCTGTCAGGGGCAAGGTAAGAAATCACTGGTCAGGATCCCACGGGTCAAGCAGAGGGTAAACAAATCCATAAAAGAGGAGGAAACACGGCAGGAAAACATAAATGCAGCAGCATCTCTGCGAATCTCCAGTGTCTGGAACAGAAGGTACGTCTGCATGCAAATGCTGGGGCTGAGTGCTTTGGGAAGTGAGATACTCCAGCACTTTTTAATCACCCTTACTGGCTCTATTCCCTCCAGAGTGCTGAGACTGTCCCTAGAAAATGCAAGGCATGTCTGGACATGCTGACTTTTCCCCTGGCTGGCTGCTGGACTTAGTGACCCTAAGAGAACATTGCTGCTCTCTGAGCATCCTCTCTGCCCTGACACAGGGCTTTCCTGAGGCAGTGGAATTAATCTTCTGCTTTAGCCCACACTTCTTAGAATCACAGGACCCTGAGGATGGTGAACACACCTCAGAACTCAAGGTTTACCTCAAGATCAAGGAAAGCTGGGTAGCATTTCTATTTCTGAAGAACCAAAGTTCTTTCTCATAATCCCCTTTCGTTATCGGCTCCCCGCCTCACTGCCTTCAGGTAAGGCAGGTTGTTGTAAGTCATTTTTGTCACATGGCATTTAAAATACCTTGGGAACGGCCTCAAGTTGCACAAGGAAAGGTTTGTAGAGTCATGGAAGCATGGAATGGTTTGGATTGGAAGGGAGTTTAAAGATCATCTTGTTCCACCCCCTGCCACAGTCAGGGACACTTTGCACACAGGTTGCTCCAAGCCCCATCCAACCTAGCCTGGGACACTTCCAGGGATCCAGGGGCAGCCACAGCTTCTCTGGGCACCCTGTGCCAGGGCCTGCCCACCCCCACAGGGAATAATTTCTCCTTAATATCCAATCTTTACCTGGCCTTCTGCTTAAGGCCATTCCCCCTTGTCCTAATGACTTCATACCTGTGTGAAAAGTCCCTCTCCAGCCTTCCTGTAAACCTCATTTAGCTCCAGGGAGGATGTAGGATAGACTGGATATCAGCAAAAATTTCTTCATGGAGAGAAGGAGGTGGTGGAGTCCCCATCCCTGGAGAGATTTAAAAGCCATTTGGATGTGACATCTGGGGATGTGGGTTAGTGGTGGCTTGGCAGTGCTGGGGAATGGTTGGACTTGATGATCTCAGAGGGCTTTTCCAAGCTAAACAACTCTGATTTATGGTACCCAGCCGGCATAACCTCACTACAACCAACCACGTTCACAGTAGCTTCGGTAACTTATTTGAGATCCAACTCTGACTCGTGTTTAGGAAGGGCTGGATTAGCCCAGCTATAAATCCTGTGCTGTGCACAGCTACAATGTCATTACAGCAACCTGAGCCAAGGAGCTTCCACAGCAAACTGGAGTCCCTCACCAGCACCTTGCTCAGAAACAGGACTGGATATGTGTTTTTGTCATGTGGTGTGGACATATTATCATGTTTATGTGGATTTGCTGTTCAGTGCTGGCAGTGCCATGGGAAATGCTAAGAAGCCCTGTATCTATTAAAATTAAACTGAGCCAAACCAGCTGAAGCACAAGTATTTTTCCAGCTATGCTCACCTTAATTCCTTTGGTGTTAATCTGGCTCAAATAACAGCAGCCATGATTCAGAGACTGGGTAGGAATGACAGATTCCAAGATAACTCTGAGGAAGTTAACCCACCACTTTTGGGGTTTTTTTTTCTTTCTTCCTTTATCTCTTTTTGGTTTTGTTTTTTTTTTTTTTTCTTTTAAAGAGCACAATTCAGATATTAGGCATGATTTATACAAGCCCTGCATTGGACCCACCAGGGATCTAACCAAGCTTTCCTCCAACTGGAGGCTGTGCTGGGTCTGTCCTTGGACACAGCCCCCAGACACTCTCTGCCCTGCCCTTGGGGATGTTGTTCTTTATCCCTCTCACCCCACCTTCCTCTCCTGAACCAAGGAGCTGGAAAGCAGTGGCATTTTCACTGGTATCTGGCTGGGCCTGCCAGTGTGTGGAGGCAGATGAGGAGAAAAGAAGGCTGGAGAAAACAATTGCAGGGGAAACCTTATTCCTCTCTGCAGCTGCCTGAAAGGAGGTTGTGGTCAGCTGGGGATTCAGCTTCTTTTCCCAGGCAACAAACTCTAGGATAAGAGGAAATGGCCTCAAGTTAAGCCAAGAAGGTTTAGATTGGATATTAGGAAAATATTCTTCACTGAAAAGAGGAATTAAGCATTGGAACAGGCTGCCCAGGGGAATGGTGGAGTCACCCTCCCTGGAAGTAGATGTGGCATTTAATGATATTTATGATATGATGTATTATATTTTGGTTGAAGGTTGGACTTGGTGATTTTTCAAGTCTTGTCCAACCTTAATCGCTCTGTGAAACCCAAGGTGTTGGTGACAAGGAGAGCTGCTCTGGTTCTGAATGTGGAAGGATGTTTTAGAATCTGAGGGAATTTTACCTGGAAAAAAAGCTGGGCGTTTGGAAAGAGGATACTGGGCAAAAGAAACAAAGGGGCTTTGAGGTTGGTACCAGTGATCCCAGAGGAGGGGAGACCATGGGAAGGATGCCAGGAAAGGCTTTGCTGACAGCCTGCTGGGGCAGCAATTTGGGTATGCTCAGGTTGAGTGTGAAGGACAGGAGCAGAGGGAGGTAGTAAAACAACCCTGAGGTGTTTTCTACATTTTTTTTTTCTCTAATGCACTGTTATTCATTGAACTTGAACAGTGAAATGCAGTTTAGAACTGAGGAAAAAAGCCTCCCCGAACTGGGCTGTGCTGCTGGAGTTGGAAGCAGCAAACAGCACAACACTGAGGGATAACACCATGGAAGATGCTCACAGTTCAGCTCCCAGCACTGTAGCACAGCAATAATAAGAATACTTGCTTAATATGTGTGCTTGGAGTGATGTTTCTGGGGGAATGAGCACTTTTATCCAGCGCCGTCACTGCTGTCTGGTTATTGCAGACGGACGCGTAAAGCTTTGCGCTGTGCTGAAATTACTGGGGGAAAAGGAGACACGCCGTGCGAATTGTGGGCTGTAAAAGAGAGGAACCTTTTGTGCAAAGGGGCTGAGTGGATAATATTAACATTTGCCTGGTTTTCCTCAGACGACGCGGTCGCTTTGTGCTGTGCACCCGCCTCCCCTCCGGGCTGTGTTTTACCCCCTGTGAGGGGATCCCGCCCCTCAGCCCCGCGCCCCGGGCTACTCACGCCTGGGACATGCTGAGCGCCGAGAGCCGGAGCGGCACCGAGGGTGAGCCGTGGGCGAGGGGCACCGAGAACCGCAGGGCCGGCACCGACAGGTCCCTGGAGCCCCGGGGCACCGAGCCCGAGTCCCGCAGGGCCGGCACCGACACGGGCCCGGCCCGAGCCGCCCGCGGCCGCTGGAGGAAGCGGCGGCCGCGGCGTTACCTTGGACACGGCCCGGGGTGGGCCGAGCCCTGCCCGCCGCTTCTCCTCCGAGGAAAGGGAGCTTCAGGCTTTCCCCCTTCATATTTTCCTTTTTTATTTTATTTTTTTTTTTTTCCCCGCAGAAATCACGGGGTGGTTTGGGTTGGAAGGGAGCTTAAAGCCCACCCAGTCCCACCCGTGCCATGGGCAGGGACACCTTCAGATATCCCAGGTTGCTCCAAGCCCTGTCCAGCCTGGCCTTGGACACTTCCAGGGATCCAGGGGCAGCCACAGCTTCTCTGGGCACCCTGTGCCAGGGCCTCAGCACCCTCAAAGTAAACAATTTCTTCTTGTATCTGATCAAAATCTCTCATTTTTTACTTTAAAACTGTCCCTCAGTTATCAGTGTCAGTATCGCGGCGCCCACCCCCTTAGTTCTGTTTCTAACCCCGAGAGTTTCATTCCCCGCCCCCCGTTACTTTCAGCCCCCCCATTAGTTTCCTTCACCCCCCTTTCTTTGCCTCCCTTTATTTTCCTTTTTTCTCTCTTTCTTATATCTAACTTCACCCCTTTTCACCCTTTCCTTTATTTTCCTTCCCCCTTTCATATATTTTTCATTTTCTCCCCTTTCCTATCTTTTCCTATTTTCCCCTTTTCTTCCCTTTCCTATGTTTTCCTACCCCTTTTCTGTGCTTTCCCTTTTCCCCCCTTTCTTCCCCTTTTCTATACTTTCCTTTTTCCTGCTTATTTTTTTTTAACTTCTCTCCCTTCCTGTTATTTCCTTCCCCCACCAAGGGCTTGTCCCTGTTGCATTCACATTTTTCCTTTTTTTTTTTTTCTTTCTTTTTATTTCTTTCCCCAGGCACCTGTTGAGCCAACTTTCTAGTGGTTTTCCATTCCCTTAATACTTAAAAAAACAGTTTAGAGGACAGGACTACAGCACAGATTCTGAGGGGAAGATGCACTCTTCCACAGAGCCAGTGAGAAGGAAAAAAAGCAAGAAGTTTGGAGTAATGAATGATTTGACAGTGATCGTATTTATTTTTTTTTTTCCCACAAAGTTTGGTGTCTCTGCATTCCTTTTCTTTCTTTTTCCTTTTTTTTTTCTTTCTTTCTTTCCCATTGAAGCCCCAGTTCACATAATTAGGTGAGACTCTTGGCTATCAATTTTTTAAATAAAGTTTTTAGCCTCCCCTGGTTTTGGAGGAAAAGCTTGAAAACATGAACCATGAAGACCATAATAAATGCATGTAAGGATATTATTTTTCAAGCCATATGATGACTATGCCCATCACATAATTTCTTTAAGTGTATTGGATCAGTGGGAGGGGTGTTTAGGAGAACTTGTTGCATTTTCTTAGTGCTGAGGTTGGAAAATGCTGTAAAATCAGCTTGTAATTTTCAATTTTAATATCAAAGTGGTTCTTCATGCTGAAATTCAACATGAGAAATTTTTCTGCTTCCTTCCAGTGCCTGATCCTCATCCATGTGCAGGTTCAGGAGGGTCTCAGAAGCAGTAAGTAACTTCTATTTTGTTCCTTTTTTAATAAAATATTCCAGTCTTTGCAACCCGAATAGGAACCCTGCATTTTTATTTTCATTAATGCTGGCATCTGTACGCCACTTTTTATGCCAAAATGTGTTTTTTCAGCCAAAAGTTTTACCTGCAGAGTCCCAGCAGAGCTGTCTCCATCAGCGTGTGTGGTTTTGAGGACCGATTGACCTATTGCATGTGTTTGCAATAAAAATTAGGAATATTTCTGAAGCAATTGAAACAAGAGGACCAAGATGGCTTGATATGATGTGGATGTTAATTATTAATCTGAATTTATTGCCCTGTTAGCACCTCGATGTCACAGTGCACAAGATTGTCTTTATTGTGCTGGAAGCTGCTCACTTCCCCACCTGCCTTCTCCTCCCTCCCACCCCCCAAAAAAAATTGGAAGAAAGCAAAAACTTCTTCCTTTAAAAAATGGGAAATTAAGCTACAAAGAAATGATGTACATGAGAGTGTGGAGGGAGGCTGAGGGGATTTTAATTTTCATCAGTTTGTGGAGAACTTGGAAAAAAAATGAGTTGTGTTGCTGGGAAAAGTCATGCAGTAAAATCAATTATGAAATGAGTAGAGTTGATTATTTTTTTTTTTCCATGGGAAAGGAGCCTGGTTTTGAGCTGAAATGGGAGCTGTGTATGACTGAGAATAAGTAATTGGTTTAGCCTAAGAAAATAGACATTTATAAATGGAGAAAGCAGGGAGTGGGAGATGTTCTGGTTTCCAACATGTTTCCAGTTGAGTCCTTGAGCTTTTCAGTAGTTTGAAGTGAGAGGACACAGGTCTGCCAGGGCTGTGATGTCCTCAAAACTCAGCCTGGAGAAAAGGAGGCTCAGGGGGCCCTTGTGGCTCTGCACAACTCCCTGCCAGGAGGGGACAGCCAGGGGGGGTCGGGCTCTGCTCCCAGGGAACAGGGACAGGATGCAAGGAAATGGGCTCAGGCTGGACCAGGGGAGGCTCAGGTTGGACACCAGGAGGAATTTCTCCATGAAAAGGGGGGGTCAGGCCTTGGAAGGGGCTGCCCAGGGAGTGGTGGGGTCCCCATCCCAGGAGGTATCCAAGGATCTCCCTGGATGTGGCACTCAGTGCTCTGGGCTAGGTGACAAGGTGGGGATTGGTCTTGGGTTGGATGATCTTGGAGGTCTTTTCCAGCCCAAATGGTCCTGTGATTCTGTGATCACTGCAGGCTGAATTGCAGCTGAGGTCTACCCGTGGTCAGTGAACACCATGAAAAATCTCACACTTTCCATTCTGGAATCACACATCTCTGATAATCCCTGCAGGCACCAAACAGTCTGAGATGTCGAGGTAAAACCAGAGATTAAAGGGATTTGTAGTTGTTATCCCACTCATTGTACATTTTTTTGTACAGCATCACTGGCCACTTCCTCATCCAGCTCGTGTTGCATTAAAAATTCCAAGTGTGTTATTTGATCTATCCAGCAGGAGAGGGGACGAGTTTTATACAGCCTGTGCCTTTTGGCATCTCTAATTCCTCAGGCTCTTGCAAACATGGGCTTAAAAGTCCTGCTGCCTTGGAAACTAGGTGCCATCATTTTAAAAAAAAAAATCTTTTATTATGAGCTTAAGAGGTGGCTGTCAGCTTACAAAGGGGGTAAAATATAAAACTGGAGGGTCTTGTTCCTCTCAACGTGGGTCCCTGGCAAAGAGCTTAGTGCACCTGTCTGTTATTGAGTACGGCTTAGGGAAAGCAAGCAGCGTAATGGGAATGATGTTCTGCCTTTGCAACTTGTATTTCAAAGCAGTTCCAGGGGTCTGGGCTCCCAGGGCACGGGGTGGAAGGTGAGGAGTGGGTTTTTCATGAGTGTTGCTGGCCCAGAGAGATGCAAAGGGAAAGCTGTGGGTCAGGGCTTCCTCCTCCATCCGTGGTGAGCTGGGGCTTTGGGCCAGTGCTTGGGAATCGAGGATTCTGTTTGCTGTGTGGCCACAGGAACAGGTGTGACAGCCTGGGATGTGCTCTGTGAGCCAGGCAATCACCAACTGTGCAAAACTTAACCAAGACAAGTGCTGGACTCTGCACCATGGATGCACGGCCACCCTGGGGAACGAGAGGCTGGAGAGCAGCAGGGATCTGGAAGTCCTGGTCGATGGCCAGTTGGATCTGAGTCAGCAGAGCCCTGGAGCCAGGAGGAACATCCCTGTCCTGGGGCATTGGGCCCAGCACAGCCAGCCTGGCCAGGGTGGGGATTGGCCCTCTCTGCTCTGGGCTGGGGCTGCCTCACCTCCAGTGCTGGGGGCAGTTTTAGATCAGAAAGCTCTAAAGCTGTTAGAGAGGCTCCAAAGGAGGGACAGAAGATGGTGGAGGGGCTGTACGAGGAACAGCTAAGGGCATGTGGCTTGTTCAGCCTGGAGGAGACAGAGGTCAGACCTCACCACGGTCTGCAGCTTCCTCTCAAGGGGCTCTTGAGCCCAGGGTGGGATTTTTGGGGTGTCCAGGGCCAGAAGTTGGACCTGATGATCCTTGTGGGTCCCTCTCATCCTGAAGGAGCTCTCCCACAGGGGCCAGTGGCTGTGACAGCAGTTACAGCAGGACAGCTGTCCCCTGGTCCAACTGAGCTGCACAGCAAACCTCTGAGTCTGGAAAGTGAGAAGGAGGACCTTGTGATGGGCAAGCCTGGGGAGTTGTTGCTCAGGGCTTCACAGAATCCCAGAGTGGTTTGGGTTGGAAGGGAGCTTAAAGCTCATCCCATCCCACCCCTTGCCACAGGCAGGGACACCTTCCACTATTCCAGGGTACTCCAAGTCCCGTCCAACCTGGCCTGGGACACTTCCAGGAATCCAGGGGCAGCCACAGCTTCTTTAGGCAACCTGTGCCAGGGCCTGCCCACCCTCCCAGGGAACAATTCCTTCCCATTATCCCGTCTAACCCTGCCCTCTTTCAGTTTAGAACCATTCCTCCTTGTGCTGGTGCCCCAGGCCCTTGCCCTCTTTAGATGTCTTGGAGCTTCTTTAGGGCTCTAAGGTCTCCCTGGAACTTTCTCTTCTGCAGGTGGACACCTCCAGCTCTCCCAGCCCATCTTCATAGGAGAGGTGCTCCCTCCCTCTGACCATGACTTCCTTGCAGATGGGTGTTTGGTTTTCCTTTAGGCTTGGCTAGAAGTGTTTAAAGGAGCTCTGGGTGGCTCTTTGCAAACCTTGGGGACTTGGGTCAGCCTCGTGGCCTCAGGTGCTGGCTTCCAGCTCACACTGACACCCAGGAGGGGTGGCTCTGCCAGCTGGGCTGCACTGGCCACTTCATTTAGCCTTGTGACCAGTGGCTGGGCTATTTTTTTTCCAGTTAACATTGACTGCTGGATCTCCAGGAGGTTTGCTGCTTACTTCCAAGCTAAGTGAAGGGGATTTGTCAGCACTCAGCTCTGTTAGACTTTGATATAACAGCGTGTTCATCAGGCCCGAGCGTGGTACACGGAGGAGGAGGATTGCAGCAGAATTAGAAGGTATAAAGTTCAAACCTAATTTGAAGAATTTTCCCTCTATCACTTAAATGTGGGAAATGTTCCTGTGGCTTCAGGGATAAAATGTCACACTTCATAAGGAGCATGCGTTTTAAATCTCAGCCAGATATTAAGTGCCGTGTGCCGCACTCCACTTCTCTCTTTGTTAAAAAGCAAAACCCCAAACCATCTCTCCTGAAAGAGTGTTGTTTGATAAAATTAAAGCTGTCTAAAGAAGCTGGTTCAAATACTGCCAACTCTGTATCATTATGACACAACAGGGAGTGGATTGATTTTATTCTGTATTGACAACAGTTCATCAGTGCTCAGCTATTTAATTATATAGGATGCCGTTCCTAAAGATGCCTACAGCACCAAGAGAGCATTCAATACAGACTGGCAATACACACCAGATGTCTTTTGGGTGAGAAAGAAACAGAAAAAGGGATCAGACTTGGGCTTCTGGCAATTATCCAAGTAATTTGTA